GCGATAAAGAAATATATATAGAGAGCGACATGTATTTTCTATATACTCTAACACAATACTTCGTGTTTTTTTCGTTTTTCCGCCCGGTGTTGAAACAGATTTACTATCAATTTTTTTTTATAAAATAGAAGTGACAAACGAACTTACAGACCTTATGTTAAATGGCAACTGCATCCCATAGACACCTGCAGCCACCTTAGAAAATGAAGGCTAGAGTAGCATTGTTACCTCCCACTGCCCCTGTAATTATACAGGCATTATTTACTCTTCAGACCGGAAGAGAAAAGTGCAAGCACTACTATTCAGTGGCAGAAATACATAGGTAACAAGATGGTACCTGCCCTGACGGATTCACATCATTTACCATGGGGAGTACTCTGAGGAATTGTTCGGATTAATTCCAGCCGCCAAATTTCACTAACGCACATCGCGGCAGAACTCCCAATACCATCCACACCATCTGGATGATTGGCGGTCCACCACTGTGCGATTTAGAAGATGTTTTCTTCCTCGCACGACTTTCTTGTGGAATCGATTATCATCAGCGATTTTTCCGGATCGATACGACTTAGGGACTTTCAAAAAAAGAACTTTTTTTTTTTTTTTTATAGGAGAGGGGGCAAACGAGCAAGCGGCTCACCTGATGGTAAGTGACTACCGCCGCCCATGAACAACCGCAACACCAGGGGAATTGCAGATGCGTTGCCGGCCTTTTAAAAAGGAGTAGGCTCTTTTCTTGAAGGTCCCTAAGTCGTATCGGTCCGGAAAAATCCCTGGTGGTAAACTATTCCACAAGGAAGTTGTGCGAGGAAGAAAACATCTTCTAAATCGCACAGTGGTGGACCGCCAATCATCCAGATGGTGTGGATGGTATCGGGAGTTCTGCCGCGATGTGCGTTCGTGAAATTTGGCGGCTGGGATTAATCCGAACAATTCCTCAGAGCACTCCCCATGGTAGATGCGAAAGAAAATGCAAAGAGATGCAACATGTCTTCGCAGTGCCAATGAATCGAGCCGATCGGAAAGGGCTCGGTCGTCGACGATTCGAGCCGCTCTGCGCTGGATGCGGTCAAGTGGAAGGAGCTGGCACTGGGGAGCCCCTGCCCAGAGATGGGAACAGTATTCCATGTGAGGCCGAACCTGCGCCTTGTAAAGTTGCAGGCGGTGTGCCGGCATGAAATACTGTCCCGCTCTGCTGAGCACGCCAAGCTTTTTAGAGGCCAATTTGGCCTTCTCTTCCAAGTGACCACGAAACTGCACGTCACTCCTTTTTAAAAGGCCGGCAACGCATTTGCAATTCCCCTGGTTTCCCTGGTGTTGCAGTTGTTCATGGACGGCGGTAGTCACTTACCATCAGGTAAGCCGCATGCTCGTTTGCCCCCTCTCCTATAAAAAAAAACCAAAAAATAAAATTCAAGGCAGAAAAGGAATTCTACCACCAGAAAGTAGTGAGTAAACTCGTTTTACCTATTCTTTCAAAAAAAGTATTAAGAGGTCAGCCTTACTCAACTCTATGCCGATGGTTCTATATTATGCACCAAATAAATCTTTGTCCGAGAGCGGCATACAACTTAGTCAAAATATTAAATTTTATCATGCAATGATAATATAAACGTGTCTGGAACTTTCTCGCTTTATGAGATTTATCTTGAATAAATCTTTTTGTAATAGAGGAATTATTTATGCAAACAGAAAAATGCTAAATTTTATTGTTCATGGCTGAGTGGGATGGATTTTAGAATTATAACCCTACTGTAATACATAAATCTCTGAAATTCTTTTGGTTTGGTATTTTTAAATATATAAAATCGGCTTGGATTTTGTTTTAAAAAATATAAATATTATTTTACTTATTTATCTTGCTAAATGCTTCGAAAACGCAGTTAGGTATGTACATAACATTACATAATAAGGGTGCATTTAAATAAAGAGACAATTTAAATTTACAACAGAAACTAGTTATTCTAAGAAAACCTTTTCCAATTAAAATAATTTCTACAAACAAGTGAAGGCGGTGGCCCGATGGTGGAAACTCGGAGCAAATACAAAGAGGAGGTGTTATAATTAGATTTGACTATGTAACAACGTGTAACAATTTGCGGGATGAGGGGATGTTACGCCCCGTCCAGTTTACTATTTTCCATCTACCGATAATAGTAAAACTACTCGCATCGTTCATCACTCGAGTAGTTTTAACTCGCATCGTTCCATATATGTTGCAATGTCAACAGGCCGCGATCTAAAGCTAGCTAGTTTAGCTACCTAGACGACAGATGGCGGCCTGTTAGCAAAATGATTATAAAAACTATAACAATAATATTTTGGCGATTAAAAATTCTTTAGGACTGAATGCAAAACAAATTTCGACACCTTTGTATGATTATTATACTAACACTGAACTCTACTTACCTTTATATTTTTAGTTCCCATTACAAAAAATGTCACCATCTAGTGTCTAATATATTTAATTATATTTGAAAGGCGACGCAGAGATTTTTCCAGAACCTTTTTAATAAATTAGGTATAAAATTACTTACAAATGAAATGTGATGTCATCCATAGCATCAGAGCGTCTATCTGAGTAGTTTTTATACGATAAAACACAACACTTCATCCTTTTCTTTTTAATACTACGAAAATACACCGATTTGCGATTTTCGACACATAAGCGCAGAGACGAACGCTGACAGTATACTAAGTAAAGCCACGCCCACTGTGATGACGTTAGGACCTAGTTAGAATCACAGTGCACAGTTGCTTATGCCATCTCCTCTTTGTATTTGCTCCGTGGGTGGAAAGGAGAGGAAGGAATTAAAGCGTATAATTCATGCGCACACTTATAGAAATGCATCCTATGGAATACCGAGAGGCTGGCTGGTCTGCGCCTGTGCTCGAGGCAGACAAGATTGGTTTCAACCAAATCAAGGTTACCAATGAGCCTCTTAGCGCGTCACTCCACTGATTCCAACGCTGCCATTTTGTAGCACGAGCACATATGTGACATTAGTACTCCATGCACGAACGGACTTGCGCTTTATATAAGGTAAAAAGCTGCCCCGGCGTGAAGTATCGCCACACCCTTGCAAGGACACCTAGTTTTCTTGCAGCTGCTTTAGCCTTGGACTCAATTATCAGCATCCACATAACAGGCATACTGTGTGCTCGTTTGTCATTTCCATAAGAAAATGCTGTGTGCAAATTCAACAATTTGATATTGCGTTTGATAAATATAATAATTACTATAAATAAAAGAAGCTATTTTATAAATCTGACTGGAGAATCAAATTGAGTTCATTTAGCATGCATTAAAGGAACAATTAATTATACCTGTTACATTTAACAATGTTCATTATGTTTCCAGTTGACTTTATGGCCTGACTGCGGCTGGTCGTAAATATTTACGTGGGCTCATTGTTGAGGTGAATTTGTTTTGATAGAGCAATGAACGAGAAGGAAATAACTTGTTTATTTTACCTTTTTATATCTCAATTCAAACGCAATTTTCCAAGAGATGTGATAATGACCGATATACTAAAAGTAAAACAAAAATCAACCAAACACATTTTACATATTATAATTGTCCCTGTTACATATCATTTGCCCCTAATATTTTCTAGTCTACACTTATAAAGAAATTATTAGCAATTGTAAACGTGGTAGAGCTACTGTGCAGTTACATTGTGATTGTAGCACGAATGCTTCGACTTGACCGGGAAAGGGCCACAGAATACTAGCGTAAAATAGCAGCTTAGTGCTAACCTAAAGGTTTATAGTGCACAAGTGTACTCTCTATTCTCTCACTCTCACAGTCCGATGTATATACGAATGTAATCCGACACGTCAGATCAGGCGCTGGACCAACGGCTTTCCGAAGGCAGAGGTGAAAGACCGTCAAATTCCTGACTCCAGGCCGGACCTAATAACTGATTTTGGCCCGACCCGGGATTCGAACCCGAGAACACATGATCGCTAGACAAACGAGGCAGTCAATTTGAAGCGTCAGTAGCCAAATGGCGGGGCGCGGACTGAGAACTCGAAACATCGTGGGTTCGAATCCGCCTTTCGACTACTATCGTGAACCACTTCTAACACAAGCATTTTAAGCTTACCAGAAGTGGTTTAAGGGAATATTAGTAATGTTTAATAGCACTACTAGTATTTTTTATAAAAAAATAAATATATAAGTAAAAAAAATGTACACTTATTTTTTAAGAGAAATACCACCTGCAACCAACATCAAAAAAAGATTACATATTTTTTATATTTATTATATGTATATATTGTCACCTTTGTGTAGTCCACAAATGGAATGCCTCACAGCCTGGAATTAGACGGACTCCCTTTAGACCGGAACACATCATATCACGCAATGCTGTTTGGTGGCAGAAGTAAGATAATTGGTAACTAACCAGATGGGCTCCTAGGCAGAATATTGTAATTTTTTTTATAGGATAAGAGTGACAAACGAGCACACAGTCCACCTGATGCTAAGTGGCTGCTGTGGCCCATAGACATCTACATTTATCCTCGATGATGAATCAAAAAGCAGATGCGTTGTCATCCGTGAGGACTAAGATGGAATGCCTCTTTTCCAGTAAAACGGGTCCCCGGTTCTCTCCACTCACCATACGAAACACAGCAGCGTTAAGCTGCTATTTTAGGTTGGTATTGTGAGAGCGTGGTCCTTCCCCGGTCGAGTTTACTCATTCGTACTACAACTATGCAAGTAATATAGCTGCAGCATGGCTCTACCACGTTATATTTTACTACGCGTTTTTTAAAAATATCAACAAAAAACTAATATTAAATACCGTAAGGGTCGTTGGAATTTTTGTCTTTTTATGGGGCGTGCGCTGTGATAAACGTTGATAAACAATGTCCTAAATTGAAACATTATTCGTGGCCTACTATATTCGCCTAATTTTTAAAGGTTTTATAACTTTAAAAGTTTAAAGACTATTCGGTAAAATCCTTTTCATATCTGCTTGCGTTAACATAACCTGTTCTTGTTACAGAAAACAACACGCAGTTGGATAGAGAGCACGTTTCAGAAGCGGGAATGCAAATACTTCGTGCCAAGTGCCAAGGACGAGCATGTGTAAGTAAACGATATTTAGCTTTAAAGAAATTTATTTTCAAAAAGACAAACAATGCCACTTAAATGAAAATAATAATTACAATTTAGTAAACTTATTCTCATGGTCGCCGAACACTCAGTCAATAGTTTCACAGCCTTAGTAAACTTATTCTCATGATCGCCGAACACCCAGTCAATAGTTTCACAGCCTTAACTGAATATTGAAAAATGTTCAATTATACAACATGTAACAAAAACCAAGTGGTTCCCGTTAAGTACGTTATCAGGATCAGTATTCAAACCTATAGAAATAACTTTTTTTTTTAAAACTAGACCATAATTTTTTTTTATTTTATAAAAAAAATTAAATTATATGTGGTTTTATTATCTCTTACTTGACACTAGGAGATAGTAAAGCGGGGTCTTTGACAATCCTCTTACTCCCCAGACGATGCAGAGGTAATAAAACCACATACAATTTGCATATAATTTTTTTTTAAATAAATTAAAAAAAATATTGTTCAAGTTTAAAAAAAAAAGTTATTTCTATAGGTTTGAATATTGATCCTGATAACGTACTTGACGGGAACCACAGGGTTTTTGTTACATTTTGTATATTGAGACAGCTGAGACTTAAAACTACTAAATGAGCTTACATTTTTTATATTACAAGACAATTTATTGTAAATCTGTACTCCTTCAAAGGTAATGCTGTTTTTGCGTAGTTTGTTCGTACCTTTGGTAGTACAAGTGAGCCAGGTCGACGGAAACTGCGTTTACAAATTTGTGATTTTTTACAAAAGGCAATTTAGTATGGATGGTTTTATCAATTATTTTCCTAAATACGAGTATAATACAAGTAATATATATATTATGTAGTTGTTGAACGTTCTTAAGTTTTGTTTCTTTGAAAATTTATTATTAAAAGTATACAGATAATGAAAAAGTATTTATATGATTTTATTTTGTATACTTCGAAGTTCCTGTAACTTAGTTTTAAGAGCGTTGCCCCAAATTCCTGCATATAAGATAAAGTAAATGTGATTTGATAAATGAGTTATACATATTTACGATATTTTTCCTATGTATATAATATGTTAACTTGTGGCAGGTCACACACAATGCAGGTGATTTGTAACTGGCCTTTAAATATGTTAAGAAGTAATCATTTTCAACCGCCTGCGACTGATCTAAAAAGTGTTTGTATAATATACATGTATGCATAAAGCATGTATGTAAATGTTGACCATGAAGTAGCGGTGTAAATTGCACTACCGCGTATCGTCTCGTGGATATCGTAAGAGACCACAGAGCGAAACAAATAATATGAGAGATGGGCAGCAGTGTCTTCCCAAGAGCCACTTAAAAAAATAAAAAAACTGCGGTTGCCGATCCACATGCAAAGCGTAGGAACTCTGACAAAGTGAAGAATATCCCCTATGAGACAATCGATGGGAAAACGTTTGTTTAACAATGGAAGTTCATAGGGATCCCTATGAGGTAATATATGGCAGAAACCTATGTTCAGTAGTGTACTTATGATAAGTTGTAATAGTAACAATAAATTTATATACACGTGTGCGTTTCTATGTTAACCTGTAACTTCTAACTAGGCTTTGAGTTGGAATTCTACAAATGACTCCTATGTCGTGTTATACGAATTGCGCTTGAAACGATGACTATTAAAATTATTACAGCGAACATAAATTGTCAAAAATTGCTACGTAAAGATGAATAATAAGCAAATATATCGTGTATGGTATCACAAAATGTATTAAAGTAAAGAAAAGTCACACAAATTTTGAGGTGTATTGCCCACGACCATCCCCCTAGATCCGGGCCAGCCAGCCAGTCGTCACAGCCCTGTTCGTAAACCGTGGAAGAGAGAACATTTGGTGTAATGTGGACATACTTTACTCATTGCAAAGCGGAGGCTTGTAATTAGTATCTCTTAACACCATTTTGCTAATTAATGCAGCCTTTTTAAAACCTGCATATCGGTAAAGAATGTTTAGAAGACATCTAAATGCGCCAACACGCATCCCTTGGTCTAAAACCCTCAGCAATGAGAGGATACGTTTCTTAAAATATATTTTACTTCACTTCTATAAATAAATATATAAACGTGATAAGCGGTATGAGATAGTCGGGAAAGATAACGTCTCATTAAATAAGACCTAGCCAGTATTGCAAGTAACATCTACTGAATTATTTATCAGTTGAGAACGTTGATATTTACCTATTGCTGCAGTAACTAAAGACGGTGTCATTGAGTCAAAGCTAAGGCTTATTTATACTGATGCAGATTGAATCTCGCATCTCGAGTAATAATACACGTTTATTTTAGTACTTTCTTCCGTGAGCCGTGATAGCTAAGGAAGGGGCTTAGCGTATACTATAAATATCAGTACGCGAGTAATCTGATTTCAATCCTCGCCGGCACCAATGAAATTCTTAATCGCAATTTTATGTGCTACTTTATTTACCACGTGTAAGGGGGTAAGGAAAATATCGTGGGAAACCTGCATATCTGAGAAATGATAAAAAATTTTCGAAGATATTGGAAGTCCACTTACATGCATTGGGACAGCGCAGTGGACGTTTCCTTGTCCTAAAATCACCCAGAAATGAGAGAAAGCGTGTGTCTAGCATTGGACATTTTAGTAAGTTGTGGCCGTGAAAGGAAAAGGGGAGATCTCCCGCCGGGCAAGTTGTTCCCGGGGAGCGGCCAATGCTTCGAGTGGTACTTCAATATATATACTGCTTTTACTTCGGGAACTTTGATAGCGCGATTTAGGCTTCGATGTATTTTCGCTTGCGGTGCAACGACAGCGCCGCCATAAATAGGATGAAGGACTATATTTATATAATTTATTAAACTTAACTACGACGAAATAGTCGTCTTATGTATAAAACAGACTACACCGTCAATTCCCCCTATAAATCTAGATAATATTTTATAATTATTTCACTAGCTATAAAAAACGCACGTCTACCAATCATCATCATCATCATTACAGCCCTTCACTAACCCACGGCTGAACAGGCCTCCACCAAGGAATCCCATAAAAACACGGTCCTGAGCCACATGCATCCATCGAATTCCTGCATGTTTTACCAGATCGTCACTCCACTTAGTGAAGGGTTGCCTTACACTCCGCCTACTGATACGAGGCTGCCATTCGAGAACCTTTTTTCCCCATCGATTCTCGGTTCTTCGAGTTATATGGCCGGCCCATTGCCACTTCGGCTTACTAATCCGTTGGGCACACTAGTTCTACTGCGGATAGCCTCATTTCTAATGTCGAGTCACCTAAGGTGGCAACCGAACCTCCACCGGAGATTCTTAGCACCCCCTGCCCCACCGGTACCATGGTCGCCACCGTAGCCAGGAATAGCGGGGCCGCCGGGGATTGGGGGCCGTCTCTTCGTTACTTTATTCATTCATGGGGGGTATATTGCCATAGTTGCCACGCTTGGCGAGCGGGTTGGCAACCGCAGTTTCTTTATTGTTATTTTGCTGTTATCAGAAAGATGCTGCTGCCTATCTTCTGCCTCTGTTTCCCTCTGTCGCCTCTTACGACACCCACGAGAAGATATGGCGTAGTGGGTATTCTTACCTGCCGCTACACGTCTATCTATAATAATCTGTAATTAATTAAAAAAAAGTTCCACTGTGTTTCTTACTGATTCAAACCATGACACAGATTTTTTTCAATCCATTGATAAAAGCATAAATGACTCAATAAGTATTATTTATAATCTGTATTCAATAATTTGACTGCTAGAGAATTATCCATTTATTAAGGTGTATAATAAAGTGTAAATATATAAATAAATATTTTATTCTTTTCTAATTGTCATCATCATTATAGCCCTGCACAAGTCCACCGCTGAAGATAGGCCTCCCAGGTCCTGCTTCACTTGCATCCATCGACTTCTTGATTGAATTACTATCGTCACACCATTTAGTGGGGGTTGCCCAAATCTAAATTTGCCGGTACGAGGCTGCCACTCCAGAACCTTTCTTCCCGATGGGTTTTCAGTTCATCGAGCTTTATTCTTAACTTACCTACTGTTTTTTGTGCTACATCGCTTACTCTGGTTGTGCTACGGCTATCAATATCATGATTACAAATTCTACCAAGTAGGTACTACTTTATTATGTGGGCTACGGAGCCACGTGCTCAAATCTGGCACGGAACAAGTATTTCGATACCTCCTACGCATAAAGTCGTAAGCATTTTTACGGTATATTATATTTTTGGCTCACAATAATAAATAGTAGCTGTTTTATATATTTCTGAAAACAAAATTTTAAGCTTAACGTAGGTCTGTTCTTTTTTATAGAAATGGGGTGACAAATAAACACACAGTCCACCTGATGGTAAGTACCACAACACACAGTGACAGCTATATTTATCCTCAATTAAGAATCAAAATGCAGATGCGTTGTCACCCCTGAGTACTGAGATGGAGTGCCTCATTTCCAGTAAAAAGCGTCTCCGGTTCTCTACACTCACCATACGAAACACAGCAGCGTTAAGCTGTTATTTGACGCTGGTATTCTGTGAGAGTGTGGTCCCCCATACCCCGGTCGAGCTGACCCATTTGTGCTGCAACCACAATATAGCTGCAGCTTGGTTCTACCACGTAAAAATATGTTCTTTTCTAAAAGAAAAAACTTAATCTACAATTTCACAGTTTTTAATCTAGTTTATATAGAAAAATATTTTTATATGTGGCCAGAGATAAATGGGAGACACAGAGATAAATGGCGCATGTGAAATTGCTAGTTGTTTGCCTAAATTTTTTGAGGCTAAAGTAAGCGACGGTGTTAAAGAATTTATATTTTTATCTGATTATTGTATTGTATACGTAATGCTATAAATCAGGTATGGACAACCTTTGACATGTTGAGGGCCAAACTTTAGCATGCAAATACGTTCGCGGGCCGCGTTTAAAAGTACTTAGTGCATTTTAAAGTAGTGATAATAAAAGCTTTTAAAAAAATTTACTTC